ATAGAGATTTTTCTATACCTTTCTTACATGCTTTTTGGGGAGAAACACTTTGATCTGTTTCATATCTTTGGGGAGATCATATATGTGGTTGCTGTGCATGCAAAGTCTGACCTGAGGAAGGACTTTGCTGCTGATCAGGCGTTATTTCCCCTTAGACCAAAAGGTCACAAACAATGGAGAGCTTTTAAATGTGAAAAAAAAAAGGTAGTAGCTAAGGCTTCAAGACACACACCCAAATTCAAACTTGAAGGTCATCTAGAGGGTGCTAAGAGCCAGAGCTGCTCAGAGCCAACACCACAGGGGTCTCTAACCACTGGACAGGCCCTTGCTCAGCCTGAGTCATTCTCATTGCCAGCTAACAACCCCTACCCCAACCCCAACAGGCTAGCTAAAGGTCACTTTGTAACCAGTATAAATAAACTTGCAAAAACAGAGCATTGCTTCCTGTAAGACTGTTAACCATTTGTTGGAAAAATCATTTTGTTCACTGGAATGGCAGGGTTCCAGGTACCTAGGAACTCGGCACCAACAAACCCCAGCAGTAGGTTTCTAGTAAAAGAGAAAACCTGAAGTGAACACACAGTTTTGTGTAAGCCTAAACCAAAAATTCTTATGAGAATGAAGTCTGCTCACTCTGAACAGAAATTTCAAAGTGAGGAAAACAAAGCTCTTCGTTGTGTAGCTAAAGTATGAGCTGAACCATCAACCCTGAAGGGCCCTGAATCTCCTTCAACCTTGCTCTGCATGTCTTAGCATCCAATGAGCATTAGGCGCTAGTGAAGGAGAGATGGTAGCGTGTCTCAGAACAAATGCTCTCTGTAGTTCTCTCCACTTCTCCCATGCTGTGGGCACAAACCTGAAGATAAAGATATTCCACAGTTGACCCTGGACCTCTAGGATTTTGAGACTATCACAACACAGACAACTGAATATTCCACTGTGTAGATAATCAGGGTTGTCTGAGTGATTTCAAGGGACAGGATTGGAGACTCAGCAGCCCCAAGTGCCATTTTCTCCAGTGAACTTGGCCTATCATCTGCAGTGAACTTTTGAAGGAAGGAATAAAGCAGGAACCAGACTGAACTTTGAGGAGTTGGGAGTTGGAAAGAATAAGCTGTAACAATCAGAATGCGGTAGAGCGGGTGGCTTCTAGGAGCCTGGGAAATGTTGGAAGTTCAGCTTTAGATTTGCATTTCTTGATCTTTTCTTCTACAGGGGCATTTCCCAGAGCCTTGAACAGTGCCTGCCACACAGTGGTAACTCACAAAATAGCTGCTGAACTCCTCAAGTACAGGGCCATGTCTTCATGATTACAGCTTTAGAATGGAGACCATAGAACTAGGCAGGAAGTGAGCAGAAAGCGAGCGAGTGGTTTCCCTTTTAATATCTGTGAGCTTTGTAGTTCTTCTTCAGAGGAGAGGGGAAAATGGAATTCTGATTAAGAATGTTTGGTAGTAAGTTAGAAGAGATATGTAGAACTGCATAAGAACTGTCTAATTCAGTACAGTAAAGCCACCTGGAAGAACCCTAGACGAATCTGAGAAGTGTAACCGTCAATTAATCAGTGAGGAAAATTAGCTCTTCTCTTGGTACTGAATGTGGAATGTTACTCGAAACAGGAAGAAAAGTTAAACTGCCTATCTGGAACCTTGGGGAGGAACCCCTGAAAGACAGGAGTTTGGGGGTTCTTGTTCATCTAGTGACTTTTAGAGGAGACTTGATTTGTTGATTAGAGGGAAAAGTCACTTCTTCTGTTGACCAAATCCACAGGCAGGTCAACTGCTGCTGAACTGGGCTTTCTTGGGCTGTTTTAACTCTTTAGTAGTGGCCTAGTTGGGCAGTCTGCATTTGCTTGTTTACAGGGTCTTGAACTGTGTGTGTGTGTGTGTGTGTGTGTGTGTGTGTGTGTGTGTGTGTACATATGCACGTAGTATATGTGAGTAAATCCATTTGCTGACCGTACAGAAGCCAGAAGAGGATATCCGAGTGACCTGCTCTGTCACTCTCTGCCTTATTCCCTTGAGACAGTGTCTGTCACTGAAGCCGTGTTCCATGTTTCTCTGACTGAGCTGCCTGGACAGCAAGCCCCAGCCATCCTCCTACAGCCGACTGGATCTCCCAGCCCCCACAGCACAGTTGTAGGCTGGTTTACACACGGTGTGTGCTTGGGGTTGAATTTGGGTCCTCGCGCTTACACAGCAAGTCCTGGGATCCGCTGAGCCACCTCTCCAACCCCTGGCCTGAGCTCTTCCTCCCCCTTCCTCAGCCCCCAGAGTGATGGAGTCACAGGCATGGGCCCCCATGTCTAGCTGGTTAATGTTTTTAATTCAAAGAAATTTCAAATTGTAGTTTAAAAAATTAGGTGAGATCAAAATAGTCATACTTTCACACTAAATTCAAAAATGGTTTTGAAATTAATGGGACAATCTGTGTATATTTGGTACTTAAAACATTTTTAAAGTACCATGTGTGTATAAGAAGTGGAGTTCTCAAAGTACATAAAGAGTTTCCTCTCTCATGACTCTAAATGAGTAATTGAGTAATTGGGCTTCTGGTGTCCAGTCAGAAGATACAGGCAGAACTGGAATACTTGCTGTAACTTATAAAACACCATCCTTAGAAACTGACTGTATTAGTTTTACATGAAAAGTTTGAGTATATAAGAAGGTTTTGTTTTGTTTATTCTCCTGTTAGAAAAAGTTGAAGGATTTTAAAATAAAATTGGATTATACGATTTAAAAAAGCATTCTACAAGATTTAAAGGGCATTCATTAGCTAAGTTTAAAACTAGAATTAATTTTTAAGTTTTTTTTTCAAAATTGTGTGTGTCTGTGTGTCTGTATGTGAGTACAGATATTCCTGGAGGACATAAGAAGGCATTGCATTATGTGGAGCTGGAGTCACAAGAGATTGTGAGCCACATGATATGGATGTGAGAATTTGAACTCAGGTCCTCTGGAAGAGCAGTACATGCCCTAAACACTGAGCCATCTCTCCATCCTCTGGAATGGAGGGAAGATTGACTCATTCAACTTGTGTTGAAGAGACATTAATCACACATTTCCTTGAATGTGACTACTATAAGTAGATTTGTAAACAGAACAGAATTTGTGAACATATTTAGTGTATTTAGTATTAGAACATTTAGTGTGTTTACTAAGTGTCTGTTAAATGTCAAATATAGCATTGAACGCTAGGAATACGGCCATGAACAAAACAAGGATCAAAAAAGCCACTTTTTAAAGAAAAAAGTCACTGTTGAATATTTTGCTTTTATACATTGGAAACTAATGTGAAATATGTTGATCAGGAAGCCACAGGGACATTTGCCTGTCATCATAGCCTTTATGAGGCTGGGGAAGGAAGATCACGAATTCAGGACCAGCCTGGGCTACATAATGAGACCTTTTCCCAATAACAAGGATAAAATAAAGTGTTCATAATTCATCTTTTCATTACACAAAAATTCCCCTGTGACAAGCATCTCCATTCATCCATGTGTCATCAGTGACTAACTGGCTTACACATTGAAGCTTCTATGTGTTGCATAGAATTTACTATTATATTATTATTATTACTCAGGAAATCAAATGAAGTAAGATTTTTCTCAAAATGCAAATATCTATAACATTAAGGACTAAGATATACGTACATCTTCAGATAATCCAATCAGATTGTGTTTCTCCTAAGTTAAGGCAGGAACGTTCTGACAGAGGGAAAAATGGAAACCAATTTGTCCAGGGAGGGGTGTGTATAGTAAGGCTTGGGGCTGGAATTAGGAAGTCAGGGGAACTGGGTATTTTGGTAGACGGAGTGGTAAAAAGGCAAAGAATTCTCAGCTCATTGGAAAACAACCTGCATGGACATTGATTCTGTGAGGAAAAGTGCAGACAGCCTTCTTATACATAACCAGTCTTCTGAAACATCCTACTTGTGAATTGACCATTATTGTGATATAGAGAACTCACAAAGATCACAACCAGGGCAGTGGCAAAGGCTAGAAAGTGACAAAGCCCAGCAGTGACCTCAACAGCCCCTCCTTCTGGACAGTCCGGAGCCAGCAACTCTGTGTGACCTCTTCATCATTCTCCAGCGGCCTTTGTCTGAGCTGTACAAACCAGTTGAGGTAACATGTTGCAAGATTGCAAGCATTGCTGCTGGTCCTTGTGGCAGGTTCTGCTCCACCCACTAGCTGGCGATCCCTTAATACTGTGGTAACTACACATTCTCACACAGGCATATGGAACCAGTAGACAAGTACTCCTTGGGTTCTATAGTCCAGAAGACTGAGTTTAACAGCCCTGGCTTGACTTGATGGTCAAGGCAGGCTTCTTAAGTTCTCTGCAACTCAATTACTCTTTTGTAAAGAGTTTACAGTGATACCTACTTGGTAGGGTTTCTGAGTGGTTTGGGTTAACATGGGTTCAACAGCCCTGTGTCTGACATATCGTGAATTCTCAGACTTGAACTTATACAAGAGTTTCCCAATGCATAGCAAACAAAGAAAAAAACACATTGTATGTACTGCCTGTGATAAATCATAGATGTGAGCAATAATCAGTAATTAAAGGAGCTGAGCAGGGCCCAGAGATGCAGCTGGCTGTATAGCACATGCTTAGCCTGCAGGAAGTCCTGGGTTCAATTCTAGAGACCATGTGATGGGACACAGGGTTATCAACAGTGTTAACAGTGGGCCGGGATTTGGCTTTAATTTTGTGAATGAAAAAAATCTTTTCAACAGTTATTGAACAGTGTTGAAGAAAAACAATGCTCATGATAGTGGCCTTTAAAATAATAGTATCTCCAAATAGTCTGGTACTGGAACAAAACACTGTGGGCAATAATTCCTTTAGAAAATGATTTCTATAGATCCAAATAAACCAGGCTGAATTATTAAGGGGAAAATGAGTTTAATAAGATGGTATTAACCAGATTCTATATCATCCAAGAAAATATACCATATAATGTTTTGAATATCAATCGACCTCTCATACCTTTAGTGTTGTCAAAATTTGTATTATAGTGAGGTAGACAGTTTCAAAAAACTCCCCATTAGACAGACTTAAATTTTTGTAATAATATTTAAGAAAACGATAATATTATGAAAGAATGAAATATCTGATTAATGCTTAACTTTGTACAACTCAAATATAAACTTTAAAAATATTAGAAATTATAACATTTGAGTGCATATAACGTTTTGTACATTAAGATGATTGCATGTTTTCTCTTTGCACTTTCAGTCATCTTAAATAAACAAATATATACAGCCTCAACAGAACAACAGTGCATCCAAAGCAAATGTGCATTTAAGTTATTTCTCCTGGACAAGTCTTGTCTTTTCTCGATTACCATTTTATATTACCAAGCATTAGCATTTCCACCCTTTCCTTGACAGTCTGTAGATCTCTGAACCAGACAAGCAACAGATTTAGACAGGGAGAGAACAAACCAGTCAGGGTACCCCCCAAAACATTCTGCAAACATTAACACACCTTTCTGGGTTTAAACTATTCCACAACAAGGCTGAGGAAGCCTACTTCTCAAAGGGCCTCTGCATGGGTAATGTTTGAAAAGAATCCTGGTCCAGACTGGGGGAAGGATGAGGTCTTGACCACCTAGGAACAGGTATTTTTCCCTGTGTGCTTTCTCCTGCTCCTTCTGGTTTCTTTCCTTGCTGCCTGTACCCCAGTTTCCACCCCAAGCTCAAGGTAACACTTGACTCTTCACAGTATCTCATTACTACGTTTAAAAAAACACCACCTAACTGGTAATTACAATCTAAAACATTTCTCTAGGGGGAGCCCTGGGCTATTGCTGGCTGTTAATCTCTCAGGAATGTCAGAAAGAGGGGAGGGGTCTTAATTTTTTAGAAACTTCAGAGGCAGAGGCTCCTGGCCCTTTCATCCTTTCCCTGCTTGGGGCCTGGCCCTTTATCTCCATCCTCCTGCGGGGCTATCATCTCCCCTCCTGAGGAGCGCTTCCACTTTTTAGGTCCTTCCCTCCTCCTCTTTCCTTCTTACCTTAATTATAGAGTTCCCTCCCTCGCCATTAAAAAAAAAAAATCTTTGCCTTAGAAGGAGGTGCTGGAATTTTTGACAAATTCTGTTTAAAGAAATCAATGAAAAACAGACATGAATGGCAAAGATCTTTGGGGTGGGCTACTTGCAGCCTTGGGTACTGCACCTCCCTGTCACCCGGTCAGAGCTAGGCCTTGCGGTTTCTCATTATCCTTCACGGGGTTCCACAGGGACTAATTCCTGTCATTCCATCCATACCGACTCCTTTCCCCACCAGCAACCGTAAAGGCATCCGGAGACCTGAGTCCACAGTGGTGGCAACTCCCAGTTCCCTGTGCTGGTTGAGGCCAGCACAGAGCTGATAAATTCATGGGAATGCACCAAAGAGAGAAGGGGGCAGCTTGGCTCCCGTCCCTCAAGCTTCTCTAAGGGCAAGACCCCTCCTGACTCCCTTATTCTTTTAGCCAACTCCCCTAATACTTCCTGTGCAGAAGCCAAGGGCATCAGCTGTGACTTGACTGGAAAGGCCCAAAGACCCTACTTTCTTACATAGGAAGAACCAACCAGTCTAAGATCTGAACAAAAGTGATGGGCTCTTTCTCTCACGTTTTCCTTCCCCCTCCCCAGTCCACGAAACACTTGTGAACAGATACGCATCTCTCCTCCTTCCATCTCCTATCAAAACCAAGGAGACACAAAACCCAAAGCCACAATAATAAAGAAAAGAAAAGAAAGAATCCTTGTCTAGTCTTTCCAGGGTGGCCAGGCAACCCTTAGCTGCTTCTGGGTTGGCGAGTGGAAGATTCTGGGAGGGCTGGGCTGCCTCCTCTCCCACTGCGCCTACTTTCATGCCCTCCCCCACTTGTGGCCTTTTCCAGGCCAGCTCCTGCTCCGCCTCTCCGTCTCTCCGCAGTCAGGCCTCCCTCCATGGTCCCTGGCCCAGGCAGCGGGCGGCACCGCTACCTGCAGCCGCAGGACTCCACCACCATGTCCTCGTACTGCTTGTAGACCACATTATTGCCCGCGTCGATGTACAGGATGCTGATGGGAGTCAATTTGGTAGGAACGCAGCAGCTGGGCGGGGTGGAGCCCGGGTCCATGGAGTTCATCAGCGTCTGGATGATGGCATGGTTGGTGGGCTCCAGGTGCGAACGCAGCGGGAAGTCGCACACGCCCTCGCAGTGATAGGCCTCGTACTCTAGGGGAGCGATAATCCAGTCGTCCCAGCCTAACTCCTTGAAATTCACGTGCAGGGGCTTTCTGCTGCAGCGCAGCCTGGACTTCTTGCCGTGTCGCTTGCCGTGGCGGCTGGCGAAGGCGGTGCGTCGCCGCCGGCGGCCGGGCGAGGGCAGCCAAGGCCCGGCGTCTGGGGCGCCCGACGGCGCTGGCCATGACCCCTCGGCTCCCGCAGCCTCCGCAGAGCCCAGCTGCTCGCGCATCTCCGCGAACAGGTTCTTCCGCTGGGATCTGGTGAACACGACGAGCAGGGCGCGCTCTTGGGGCGGCCTCACCCTCCGGCCGAAGCCCAGACTCCGCAGGTCCAGGGGCGGTGGCTGCTGGGAACCCCTTGCTCGTGCCTCGGTGTCCCCGGCGTCCAGCTCTCCCCAGGCTGCCCGCAACTCCAAGCACAGCTGCTTCCACGGCTGAGGGCGCAGGCCCTGCCACACGTCGAAGACTTCCCAGCCGGCCTGGGTTGGCCCCTGAAGATCCAGGGTCCTGGCGTCCAGCAGCAGTGGGGACAGACAGGGGAAGAGCTGCACGTGCAGCGGTCGGGCCGGTGGCCCCCAGGGTACTGGGGACGCCTGGCGATAAAGCCTCAGCTCTGCGCCCACCAGCTCTTCTTTGTCTGAGAGTGTGGACACATCAAACAAATACTTCTGTCTCCGGAGAGGAGTGTGCGAGAGATCGTCTGCGAGATAAAAAATAATTACAGTCAGTTTCACTTACCGAGAGATCAGCCCGGTGCTCTTCAGCAGTCCCCAAGAGGAAGTGGGAAGGAGGGGGCAGGCAGCCAGGGAGTCCAGTTCGGCCGCCCAACCACCCCCAGGCTCACCGCCTGGACCATACACTGCGTGGGGAGGAACCCCACCAGACAGGACCCCTTCTTCAGCTCAGCTGCTGCCTGGGACCGAAGTCTGTACTCCTGTGCCTAGGCCCCCCCTCAACAGGGTGTGTAACCACTAATATACCCTTGTGGTCGAAAGCCTGGGCTGCGCTTCCCCAGCACTTCTGTCCACGGGATCTCATCATTACTGCCTCAGATGTTACCTCTTCCAAGTGGCCATCCCAGACCACCCTGATCCAAAGCAGCCTCCCTGGGCCACTGTCTGGGGACCTTGGCTTATTATCTACAATTTCCCCATCTATATTTGTGACGAGGTCTTTCTTCCCCAGCCACCAGACACCCTTTCACAAGCCCACAGAAGCAAAGACAATAGCAAGACCTTGCTTACCCCAGACCCAGGGCCATGGGTGACCTAGAGTATATGCAGGTCAATAGGTGAGAAACTTGTAGAACAGCGATTTTCAATTTGCCTTTAAAGTGACAGAGTCTGCTTATCTAATTGATTAGGTATCTAAGAACAGGACCTGAGCATGAAGCGTTTGTGTGTTTACTGTGAACCTCTTTCCTTTAGACTCCAACGTGATTTATAGGTACAGCCATTCTATAAACCCACTAGTCCGGTCGTGTTGCTACCCCCCCCACACACACAGGGTTGCTGGGACATTTTAGGCCCAGCATGATGCAGACTGAATGAAGGGTTGCTGTGTCACTCCTCTCTTTTCCAGTCTTCCTCCCTCCTTCCAACAGATGAAAGAGTGACACAGCTTTCAGAAGTGGAGACTAAGCGATGAACTAGCCCGCGGGACTTAGACCCGCTGAGATCTTCAGCACTAGGGAAACAGGCATTCCTGGAAAGAGATACCCTCAGCCAGGGATACCTAGTCACAGGCGTGGCACGCCCCACCCCCTGCCCCACCATCCAATCTGATACTCTGTTTTACAATGAATCACAAAGATTCATTCTTTGGTTACAAGTGAGAAAAAGATATTTGTGACACACACAGACTGGCAGACTTTAAATTCCAAGGCAAATTCTTTAGGAGGAAGGGAAAATTAGACTCCTTTTCTGACACATTTGTGCATGCAGCCAACATCACTTCAATGTGCAAGGCGGAAAGCTAAGCAGATTCTCCTGGGCTGCCTTCCCACAGAATGTTTACAACCCAGCAATACAAGAATCCCCAAAGCCCTCTGCTCTCCCCAGAAGCTAGTAAAGTTTGCATCAATTTCAATAGAAAAAGTATGACCCGGTCCAGTCCAGCCCTCACTGCCTGTCCAGATGTAGCCTGGGGACATATAACCCAAGGATGCTGGCTCTGGAACCTCAGCCACACCCAGCCAGCACTCTGGGCTAACTGCTGGCTTGCTGCCTCTGCGGCACAGGCCTCCACCTGAGAAGGAGTTGTGAAAGGGGTTAGAGGGGTGAAAAGGGGAAAGCTGCTTCAGGAAGTTGATTTATGGAAGCCAAGACCTTCAAACCAACCAGTGGGAAGTTAACACACTTTCTCTTCCTTCGTAGAAAGCTGTGTCTGACAAGGGTGCTTAGCCACTACCCAGATCTTTGTATTTGTCACCCTGGGCTTCATTCACTTTCCTGCCTCTCTCCTCGTCCAGGCTGTGATGAGAAACACACACTGCAGACACACGCTGCACAGCTGAGTGTTGTGAGGGCTGATACCGTTCTAACCTTGCTTCCCACGCACAATTTGATGGGGTAGGTAAGTACTGTTCCCATTTCTATGGTAGGAAAATCAAGACCTGGGGGAATTAATTATCTAAAATAAGTGATGAAGTCGAGGGCAACGTTTAAATCTACTTAGTTCCCAAGCTTGAGTGTTTAGCCATGAGCCCCATTGCCTCAGCACTAGGGGTCAAATATGGAATTCTGGAAGCAACCACGAGTGGTTAGGGGCTAAAGGGAGGGGGGGTACCGACAAAACTGCATTCGTAGAGTTTGTTGGGAATAAATCCTGGCCTCCCTTGGGAAATGGTTTCCATCTCTGTTGTCATAGTTTGATATACCTGGTTGCTGGCTAGAGAACACAGGCAGTTACAAAGAATAATGACTTATTTCTTTACCTCTCCTGCAACATGGAGAGATCATCCTTCTTTTGCTTCCCTTATTTTTTTTTTTTAAGAGTAAGCTAATAAATGGTTAGTCTGTACAGTTGAGTCAAACTGAGGTGGGCATCTGTAGAGACCTGAAGAATCTGAAGATGCTTCAACCTTGAGTTGTCTGGTGACCTCCCTTACAAAACTATCCTACAAAGACTATTCTAAGACTCAAGAAGGACTGCAAATATGGCCTTCAGTCTCTATCTGTTCCCTTTTCTTCTTGTACTAGTCTACCACAAATTGGAAGGGTCCTACCTGGATACTTACAGTCACCCCAGTTCACAAGTCACACATCCCAGGCAAACACACACATGAGAGGTGTGAGCCTCTCTTGAGAATGCTGGGAAAGAAGCTGCCTGGACCATCGAAGTGGGTAAGGACCAGAATTCTGGGTCCAGGAACCTGGAGCTCAGTCTAGGTCAGTGACTGTTAATAACACACACACACACACACACACACACACACACACACCAAATACCAAAAAAAAAAAACAAAAATAACCTAGCATTATGAATATTTCATTGGACCTTGTTAGATACAAACATCATCTCAGGCTTCAGAGGCTTGGGGCTGCCTTTCTAGAAACATCCAGATGATGCTGATCCTGATGATGGCTCAGGGACTCACTCTGAGAACCACTAATATTGGTAGGGATTGGATTTCCCATTGTGTGGAGAGAAGAATCACTGCAGTAGAGACAGAGCAAAGCACCCAACTGTAGGTCGGGATCCAAGGCACTGCCACTAGACCATGCTATCTCTCTCTAGAATCCTTCTAGTTCATATAACCACTCTCATATTCTTGATAATTTCATCCACATGCCTTCTCAACAAGTCTCCAGAGCCTCTCTCTGACTCCTAAGCAGAGGACTCAAGAACGTAGCTGCTCTCTACAGATCCCCTCCAGTCCACATTCCCCACATGTTTGAACCTGCTTTGGAGCCCTATGCAGCAAAGACATAGTCAAGAAGAGACATACCATAGGTCTGGAATGTAGAGACCACCATACACAGTCACTCTACAAACACTTTACCAACTGACCTGGCAACCCAAAGCCTGGCCCAGCTGCCATGAGTCACCTGTGGCCAGGAAGCCTGTCCTTTGCACTGCCTTGCACACTCCTCATCCCCTAGTAAATCTTATATAAATACAGGTGATGTCATCATATAATTCCATTCCATGTATAAATGTGCACTATTGGTTTCTAAATCTATGGCACTTTCTCTCCTAAAAATGAGTTCTCTGCTTTAGTCTCTAAATTGGAAAATGGTCAGTAATTCACCACAAGACACTTCATCAAACTAATCTGTAATAGCTCAGCTCCCACTTCAGTTAACTCCGTGTTCTTGAGTATTGGACTCACAAATCTTTCAAGATACAACTGCAGGATTTCTTTTTCATTTTTCCCTGGAACATGAGTAGAAAAGAGGAGGAAGAAGAAGAGGAGTCAGATGTAACTGAAGAAAGTCCTTCACACATAGCAAATTGGCAATAATACAATAATTCAATAACACAGGCAAACCTCACACTGATGCTTCCCGTGTGGGGTGTTTGGGGCTTTGTTTGTTCATCTAACTGTTTGTGAAAAGGTATCCTTTGTAGTCCAGGCTGGAGTGGAATTCTCCATCCGCCTACCTTCCCCTGGGTAGTACTGATTACATCATCAATAGCTCCTAGTACAGAAGTTTTAAAAATTAAAATAGAAGGAGGATATTGGTTAAAAGATGTATCTCGGTCAGAATAAATATAAAAAGACGGGGCTTATAATTTAAAAAGAAGGATGGGGAGCAATTATAGGAACGGACTTCTTTCACAGTAAATGGATGAAGGACTCTAGAGGCAAATGCTAAAATGAAGAGGAAAAGATGGGGCCATAGAGACCACAGGCAGCCTGAGCTTGGTATACAAGGCAGCACATTCTTCCTTGGTACCCTCAAGTTACTTCTCCCTAAGGGGTTGCCTTCCAGCCAGCCCTCTAAAAACTTGCAGAGAGGAAGGGACCAGAACGGTGTTTTCCCAAGACATCACTGGAATCTTATACAGCTTAGGTCCCTCTTGAGGATTCAAATTGGATTTGTTTTTTTTCAGTGACCAGAACCAAGAGTGTATGTGTGATTCTCAAAGGTCCAGCAGGCCCTTCACACATTGATTGGTTTCTCATTCTCTAAATTAACTGAGACTCTGGATGGTTGTTGGTCAGACTCCAGCAACCTCCTCCATGGCCTGGCCATGTCTCCTGTGTCTTGCAGAGGCATAGAACCTGTAGTTAGTCTACAGCTCAGAAAGCTCAGATTATGTGGCCTTTCCCACTCACACACCCTAAGTAGGATTAGGTCTTGGGGTGCACAGATAATCAATAATCCATCTCTGCAAAGAACACTCCAGTACTCTTTGAGACTAAGCCTCTTTCCTGACCTCCAGCTTTTTGCAGACCTGGAAGTAGTTTTGGGTGCTAACTCAACACTGCCTTTGTGCAAAGCTCATGGAACTCATAAATTTGATGGCATCTCTCAGGCCCCTTCACCAAGCATTCAAGCTCTACTCCACTGTTCTATTCAGTTACAGGGAACAAACTTCAGAACACCAAGACTTAGCTTAACATCTTGCAACTGGTAACAGATCACGCTAGTTCCAAGAGAAGCCTCCAGCTCTTAGGACACACCCCTCTACATGGGCCTTATTTGTGCAGTGGAAGAAGAGGGAGGGGGAAGCCTGCCACCATTCATTTTT